TCTTTCTGGAAGTGGCCAGAAGTTAGCCAACTGTTAATTGTAATACACAGTAATGCTTTAAGATAAGCATTTACAAACATACAATAACAGCGCATTCATTAAATGAACTTAACTTTAATTAACTTAATTAATGTATTAATTAAATCATTAATACATTTTCATTTTACGTGGGGGTCACGAGTTGAGAGCTCTGGCTTCACATCCCACAAGTACATCCTTATTGAGTAGAATAAAAACCTCAAAACCAGGGAATTACTAATGTATTTTTCTTCAATTCCAGGTGTGTGGGAAACATTTTCTAATGGACAACCCACAAGAGAAATTCGTTATCCTGTGTTGCATATGGGTTATGATGATTGTTGTTTAAGTTTATAATAATATAATAATAAAATCCTTCATTTTTTTGTTTACGAATGCACAACTAATTTTTTCGGTTAGGTAACACCTGCTAGACCCCCTCCACAAAGAGATGTAATTAGGCTGTACACCAGAACTCAGCTACTGAACCTGAAACCTGGAGAAGATGAAGGGCATTTGGAGAAAATTCCTCTGCTGAGGCGTGATGTTGGAGTCCAGAGGCCAGATCACAACTAGTTTCAGCAGTAATGTGAAGATGAAGTGATCCAAACTGATCCATCACCAGAGCTATTAGCACAACATTTAGATAAAGACTTTGTTTTACACAGGTGTATGTGCTGACACTTTCTGGAAACTTTTGACAGTCCTGCTGACTTTTGCCACAACCACTTCATATCAAATTCTGACTGCCTATTTATATTCTTTCCTCTCTATATCCTCTCCATACAGTCACAAACTACTAATTTTGCCTTCTCGCTCTATGGTTGCTGATTCATAATGATACGAGTTTACTGCCTTTGCCTTTTTAATGTGATGACCTCATCTGTAATGGCAGCATCATGTAAACGAGGCTCCAACACGGTCAACATAGACAATTCATACTGCTAAAGTGACGCATATTTATCTTATTTAAGCCTGACATTTAACTGTCATACAGTGTCCTGTCATTACCTGCCTCGGTAAGTTTTGGCCAGTATCTAGCCTAGCCTACAAAAATTATAAATGTAAACATGATGATGGTGACAAGAATGTGGATGGACTGTAATGATGACAGTATAATTTGTAATTGTTGTTGAAATAATTGTTTTACTGATCAGGCAGCTAAAGTGAATGTATGTGTCGATGGGAGTTCATAAGTCTTACTTCTTAAGATAAAATAGACTCTTCCCACTCCATTTCAGGTTTCTATAGAGGTGAAGAAGAAATGTGTATCTATACATTTATGTCAAATAACTGAATCCTGTATGAATCCAGAAATAAATGAATAAAATGAAAACTATCATCATTCATTGAAAATCCAGCAGAGGGCGCCGGTAAGTCACAATAGCAGGCACGCAATTATGGCAGACAGACAAGATGGTGGTCCGCAAAACATTGTGGCGGATTTGTCTTTAGTTAGTATTGTTATGATCATTTTCACGTTGTGGTTTTTGCACATAAATGACAGGAACTCACTGACATTTATGGAATAATCCATCAATTGAAAAAGTGTGGGTCAGACCTCCTCATACTGTGGGGTCAGACCATGGATCTATTATATTAACGGGTCAGACCTCCTCATACTGTGGGGTCAGACCTCCTCATACTGTGGGGTCAGACCTCCTCATACTGTGGGGTCAGACCTCCTCATACTGTGGGTCAGACCTCCTCATACTGTGGGTCAGACCTCCTCACTGTGGGGAATGGAGCGATATCAAGGAGGTATGTATGCAGCCGATCTCCGATGATAGACTGCTTTGATCTTACTTTCTGTAGCTCCGCCCTTTCATTTGCATTGCTTTTCAAGACACGGGAAAATAATGTCTTGTGAAATAATTAAACAGAACATCAATAAAAATAAAATATGAAGATAATAAATACACACGGAAAGAAAAACATATTTTTGTATTTATTTGGGCTCAAAACCGCAGTTAAATAATACAAATATATTTATTTTAATCTTAAAGGCGCTATACCCGTTTCTGCAATGTTTGAATGTTTAGCACCGCCCCCCAACTCGCTCACAGGCTTCTCATTTCCCCTACGCTCTCATAACACGGAGCCACCTAGTTTTATTTGCGATCTGATATGTATGCTAACATTAGCATTTGCACAAGTTCTTGTAAGCTGTACAACAATCACTGATGAAATGGTACAGAAGCAATGCACTGCTAATACAATATATAAGTAAAAGAATACCGCTAGTTTCGTGTCCGAATGTATTCATTTAAAACATTAGAATATATTCTAATATTTAATTATAATTTATTATACAGCTCACAGCAGCAGTAGAACCCTCCATTGACGTGAATGTAATTCTTCCTATCTTTTTTTCGATAAGAGAACTCTCAAATCAATAATGACCGCTGCCCTTTGACAATGCAATCTCTTTGTAATTCAGGTGTGTAAAATACTGCCTTTACTCCGCAAGTACAAGCTATCAGCGCCTGTCACTATACTGTGCAGTTTATCTGCACACTTGTCTGTGTAGAGAAGCTAGCGCAGCTAGCCACGCTCAATAAACAACATATCTATCAATCAACACCATTAAACGATAATCAGACAATACAGTATACATATACATCCTTAACACACATGCACGGACGATTTCAGAATTTGCTGTCAACGTTTTCATGACAAAAATACTGTTTTAACGTGACAAAAAGCGATCGCGAAAAACCCGGAAGTTACCATGAAACAGCTAGCTAGCTTAGCTGTTACCAGCCTAGCACGTCCTGGTGAAACTTTTGGGAGCTAACTATTTTATTTGCAGTCATTAAATACATTTCGAATTATAAGGGCTGTCTAATATTTGTTCGAATATATATTTTTTTAATTTTAGAATTATATTCGAATTTTGAAGTCGAAGCCCTGGTGTTAAGCAGCGCTGTAGAGGCTAGAGGACACAGGCTGTTCGCTGCTCGTTCTGTGAGCGGAGGAGAACGAGCGGCCCGCTCAGACTCTACTCAGCACTTTTCACTGCCTGAATTTCATACACAGCTGTTTCAATTACCTCAAGTTTTCAATTAAATTATGTATGATACAACTTGTATGTAGTAAAAAGCATTTTTATGAACCACTTAGAAAAGAAATCGGGAATAGCTTCTTTAAAGACCTTATGACGGGTTTTTTAAAAAAAAATAGTGGATATCAAAATTGCATGACAATGTCAATTTGAAAGAGATTCCGGCAAAAAAAATCCTATATTTTATAAAAAGAACGTGTTTTTCATGAATTTAAGTTGTCTATGCTCTAACCTGTGTGTGACGTCATAGCGGGTAACGCCCATGCATTGAAAACCATGGATCTATGCCACAGGACTGCCTTTTCTCTCTTCTCTCCAATGATGCCCAACACAATACTGCACTCTACAGGTGACAATTGCTCACTACACATAAATTGCCGTTTTGAGTGTGAAAAAATGTCCAAGGTGGGAATTGAACACAAGTATCTGGATTGACAGTCCATCGACACAACCACTGGACTATCTCAGTGACAACGAAATGATACATTCTAGTAGTTATCTTAGACTCGCTGTACACGGCCTTGTCATCTTGAATATCCGCGAAAAAAGAACACATACCAAATTGTAAACAACTTACAGCGTTAAACCGTACCCGTTCTGACGTCACCAAGGGCTGTGAAGTTTTTTCGTTTCTAAGGGCGTTGCTATGGGGTTATTTCAATTTGGGGGGATCAGACAAAAAAAACAACAACTGATTTTGAAACCTTTAGTAGTTCTCTAATATAAAATGGTATTAAAACTGTATTTCTAAATAAATCAAACCCGTCATAAGGTCTTTAACCTTTGAACGAACAGGAAAATAATAAAGCTTTATTATTTTATTTGGAACCAAAAAACGTATAATAATAATATATATTTATTAAATCTCATGATTTGCTGTGTTATCTAAATAATTATTGGCAGAATGTGACATTTATTTATTCATTTATTTGTAATTTTGACAGTTTTGGTCCTCCATAGAGAGTAGACAGTCACATTTCAGCACACAATATTCTATACGTCTTGATAATCAGTGAAATCATCAAAAATGGAGGGTGGTCAAAGAAGGTGCCGTTGCTCTATGAAATGCCGCGGATTGATTCTACATCACCTGCGCTTCTGTCATATTCTACAGTCAGTGTGTTTTAGACAAGTTTGCGCCATCTGAGCATGTTTACATCTATGCTCCGAGCTAAGCGGGCACCACTGTCTTGAATGAGACACTCTAGGGCAGTGTTTTTCAACAACTGTATGATATTGTCTGGTGTGCCGTGAGAAATTTGTCTACTTTGTCTAAAAATAACTGCATTCGCTGTTGGCGAGCGGGGACTTGTTTTGAACTGGTGAGTAACCATGTAATACTTTTTCATATCAGTAGATGGCAGCAGATCGCTAAGTACTTTGAAACTGAAAGTAATGGAGACGTTTTTGAAAAGGAATTATGCCATTTCTGAACAGGATTCACATCCTCCGCTCTGCCCCGTGGCAGCTTTGGCCGCGTTGTAGTGGTTTAACTATGAAATGTACACGCGAACGCACATCCGAACTGGGTACTGAGCGCAGACCATAGTTGCGTGGACAGAACCATAGACATGCGGACCGGACAGAACCATGGACATGCGGACCGGACAGAACCATTTTTTTTTACATTAGTATATATTTTTACATTTTCTCCTGGAGGTGTGCCGCGAGATTTTTTCAATGAAAAAAGTGTGCCTTGGCTCAAAAAAGGTTGAAAAACACTGCTCTAGGGGAAGGGGAGAAAAAGCAAGGAGGCGGGGCTGAGCAGGCAAGGGCAGAGAAGGCGAAAGCGGCAAAAGTGAAACAAACATTAAGTCAATATACAATACATGTCAAAATGTATATCGTGCTTAAAGAATATGATATATTTTAAATATCGATATATTGCCCACCCCTAGTTGAACCAATGATTTTTTACCTTATTAGGATTTGGAATGTAGATAGTGGGCATGTCAAAACCACATTTGTTGAGTCCAGGACGCTTGCACAGTTCTTGAACAATCTGCATCATCACTCGCTGCCACAAACCAAAAATAGATTCAAATTTCAAATATAGTTAATGTTCTAGTAAAAAACAACGCAGTACCTGTCGGTCAGATTCTCCTCCAGCCTCATCAGCCTTGCTCAAGTAAAATCGTAACCGGTCTCCGTGTTTCTCGTTCAAGCACTCAACGATGTTAAGTGTCCTTTTGCAGAGGGCCTGTCCCATGGGATCAAAGAACACCAGTATGAGGTCACAGAGATCCCCTGCAAAGACACAACACTGTGTGAGAAAATATTACATGTATAGTACTTAAAGCTGCACTAACTCACTTTGTGAAATTTTCAAATGTGAGCATTGGCCTCGCTCTTTTGCTCACCCTCCCCGCATCCAAGAAACTATCACCCCCCACTCAGCCTGTGTGTGCAAACCTGGTAAAGACCTATAGTAATCGTTTGACCTCTGTTATTGCCAACAAAGGTTATATCACAAAGTATTGAGTTGAATTTTTGTTATTGACCAAATACTTTTTCCACCATAATTTTCAAATAAATTCTTTTAAAATGTGAATTCCTGGATTTTTTTTTTCACATTATGTCTCTCACAGTTGAAGTGTACCTTCTGCTTCCTGCTTTCAAGAGAGCAGTCGTGTGTCTCTCTGCTCTGCTTTTGCTTCGCCTATTAATATCCTTGAATCATTTTATTTACATTTTTTGTTTCTCCTTTAATCATTTTATTTACAAAACGAGGATTACTCCTACACACTTCAGCTTTGTGGAATTTATCAACTTTAGTCATGTTGGGACGAAAGAGACAAAGAAGCTCACTGTCTCAGTTCAAGTTGCTGAGATAAGGACTCTTCTGCCTAAAGTGTTATCTGAGAACAGTGGTGTGCGTACATTATGGATCCACACGGGGGCGGTAGATATCTATGAGAAGGCAAGCGAGAAGTTACAAATGGATTTAACGCTGTTACTGGATGACCTCAAGAAAATGGACATACCAATTTTTCTTAGTGGACCACTTCCAAATATAGATGGAAAAATGGAGAAGTTTAGGCGTCTGTATCAGCTAAATACATTCCTACTCAATGAATGTTCACGCAGAGGACTTGGCTTCATTGAAAACTTTAATCTGTTCTGGAATAGGCACGAGCTTTTTGAAGAAAAAGGTCCACATCTGAACAACTACGGAGTAAAAGTGTTGATGGATAACTTTGCATCTGCCCTAAGACCTCAGCCTGCGCAGCGCGTGCAGCCGTCGAAAGGGAGAAAGAAGAAGCAAAGGGCACCGACATCACGACCATCTCCTCCGACTCCCTAGGTCTCTGCACCCCCACCGCCTCAAAAGAACTCAACACCTCCAAGGTTCCAAAAGAGCTCAACGTCTCCACCACCAGCATCATCAGCAGCTGCCACATCTTCATCAGCGCCATCAGCATATACAGCACCACCAGCAGCAGTGGCTGCTCGGTCATCTTCAGCAGCAGCAGTGGCTGCTCCATCATCTTCAGCAGCACCTTCCCCACCTTCCCCCATTGCTCCAGGCTACAGTCAGGCCTGTACTGGGGGTTCCTTGACCACCTCTGTCTCCACCAAAGACTCCCTCATCACCTTCCATGGACCCGGCTTGGGTCCCCCCCGCTACATCCACTCCATCTAGGGAAAATGAGGACGACCTTTCCCTTTGTTTTCTATCCCCGCCTTCACTACTGGAATTACCGGAACACTCGGCAGCCATGATAAGATCGGCGATGAAGACTATTCCTCTCACACCCACTGTAGCCAGATCAAGAGTCCTATCTAACATTCAAAACTACTCCCCATACGTACCCCAAAGCCACCTAGGGCGTCCAACTCAAATTCACCCACAAAATCCACCCGTCCCTCCTCTAACCCCATAAGTATTCCACCCCCCCCCCTCCTGCTCATTTAGCCCACCTCCCCCCTAACCCAGCACCAAGAAACCCTCCACCTCCACTCCCCCCTCGTCCACCACCCAACTCAGCCTGCCCCTCCCCTAACCAAAAACCCATCCACCTTCAACCCCCCCCCCCCCCCCCGTTCAACTCCCAAGAACCACCCGCCTCTCCATCCTCCTCCCCCGTCTTCCCCTCCCCTCTTTTCTCTAAACACTAGGATGCACAGGGTCTCTGCTTCGCAGCCACTGGCAGTCTAGTTAGAGGAGAGACCCGGCTGGGGCCCTGTCATAAAGCCACCTGTGCCATTCCTTTAGTGATAACACAAAGAATACATAACAGAAAAACATCTGAAGGTGATCAGTCTAATCAGGAAAATCTAATTCTTGTTCCGTGTAAGAATCAGCCGACCTCAACCGCTGATCCTGAAACTTTGAAACTTGCTATGCTAAATGTCAGATCTCTTTGTAACATGTCTTTTTTAATCAATAATTTTATTTGTTCTTATAATCTAGATCTTATGATCATGGCTGAAACATGGCTTGACCAAAATACAGAAAATGCAGTTTTAATAGAAGCATCACCACCAAATTTCAAATTTTCAGAGACCACTTTGTCTCCCATAGAAAACCTCTTGGGAAGTTTCCGTCCTTTGAATATGTGTCTTTTAAAATACAACAAAAACAATCTCCTCCAATACTTTTCGTTGTCCTATACAAGCCACCGCAGTCATGTCACAGTTTTATTGATAATTTTACAGAGTTGCTTTCAGTTGTATGCACAGATTTGATAGCTTAGTTATTACAGGGGATTTTAATATTCATGTGGATAATGTTATTGACAGAAATGCAAAAGAGCTGAGTTCTGTTCTTGAATCTTTTGGTCTCACTCAGCATGTGAGTGGCTTCACCCACAGCAGAGGGCACACTCTAGACCTGTTAGTTACAAAGGGGGTGAACATTTCTAATGTAAACGTGGTCGATGTTGTGCTTTCGGATCATTTTTGTGTATTTTTTTACATGTGTTTCACTAACAAACCACCAGTGGACTCTGCAACTGTACGAAGAAGACACATAAATGAAAATACAGGTGAACTATTTATGGGAATGATAAACTTTGAGAATGTAGATTAACTGTTCAACTCTGTCACCTCTAGTGTTTTGAATGTTCTGGACACACTCGCTTCTGTGAAGGTTAAAATAGTGAAAAATAAGCAGAAGGCGCTGTGGGCTAAAGCAGACTCGGTCAGGGCACAAAAGAGAGAGTGCCGGAGGGCCGAGCGGAAGTGGCGCAAGTCCAACCTCCAGGTAGATTTACGAGATCTTCAAAGATAAGTTGTGCGAGTTTAACCAGGTGCTACGTAGTACGAGAGAAAGGTATTTTTCTGAAATGATTGAAGGCTGCAGCAACAATCTGCGTGTTCTGTTTTCAACAGTTAATAGATTAACAAACCCCCCTGTTCAGATGCCATTAGAGCTAACTTCCAAACGTAAATGTAATGAGTTTGCACATTTTTTCAATGGCAAGGTTCAAGGCATCAAAAACGCCATTGTCTCCAATCCACAGATAACCATCCAACAACCAGAAAGGCTCTTTGAGCTAACTTACTTTGCACCTGTAAATGATCAAACTGTCCAAGAGATAATCTCCAGTTTGAGCTCCTCCACATGCAGCCTGGATGTACTACCCACTAGATTTCTAAAGTCTGTTCTGAGCAGTCTGTTACCTTCACTCACACAGATAGCAAACATGTCCCTTAATTCTGGAATATTCCCAAAGGCCCTGAAAACTGCAGTCATCAGGCCCCTGCTAAAAAAGAGCAGTCTGGATGCTACGGTACTTAACTATCGTCCCATCTCAAATCTGCCATTTATGGGGAAAGTCCTTGAAAAAGTTGTCTACCAACAGCTAAATAGATTTCTTATAATCAACAACTCATTTGATATGTTTCAGTCCGGCCTTAGACCCCACCACAGCACTGAGACTGCTCTCGTCAAGGTTACAAACGATATCCGGCTGAACACTGACGCAGGCAAAGTCTCAATCCTAATCCTGTTAGATCTGAGTGCTGCCTTTGACACTGTCGACCATGAGATCCTCTTACAGAGACTAGAGGACTGGGTTGGCGTCGCTGGCACAGCCCTAAGTTGGTTTAGGTCTTACCTTGAAGACAGGAAGTACTTTGTGGAGATTGGAAACTGTATCTCAGATCATATGGCCCTGACCTGTGGAGTACCACATGGGGTCGATCCTGGGACCTCTTCTGTTCAATCTCTACATGCTGCCGTTTGTTTCTGCGTATTAACTGACCTAAGTGTCCTATCACAACTAGGGCTGGGCGATATAAACGGTATAAGCGGTATGCGATATAAATTTGGCCCACGGTAGAGATTTTTGTTATACCGGCATATTGCGATAGGTCATTATGTCATCAAATTGCGCAGGCTCTGACGCCAGTAGAAAGGACCAAAACAAACCGGCATTCAGCAGCATTAGCCAAGCACTATTAGCCTAGCAGACACCACTGGAAACAACGAACAACAGCACGGCATTAACACCGTGTTTCTGTCTATGTATTGTCACAGCGGCCCCAGCAGAGGTAAATACACACACAGTAATCACAGTTTAAGCGTCTACATTTTGGCCTATCAGTGTCCAAGGGGCGTAGGCTCAAAACGCCAGTGTGAGCCAAAATAGATCCATGCGTGTGCCGTGTCCGCAGCATCACAGAAGTTTGCGAAAGTTAGCGTCAGATTCGGACCTCCGCGGTCAATATCTCACGAAAGCTACTTTGTTAAACAAAATTTATTGTGCCAAAATGATCATTTACATCAATTGTTCAAATCCAATGCGCTGTTTTAATGAACATAAATCCATTGAATCATCCAGTTCACTGCAAGCGCAGAGAAAAACACTTAGGGAGCGTCAACAAATGGCAAGACCAGCTTTGTAAACGAACAATAGCTTTTACTGAAGTCATGTACCTGCACAAAACTCTCAGACACTATAAATAATGACCATGTCTAACTCCTACAGACTTTGATTTCAACATTTGTGAGTTTTTTATATTCTAAATGAATGCACATGTTTTTCTTTTTAAAAATTGCTTTTACAGTGAACGGTATTTACTGTAACATACATAAATAATGTATGTTACAACATTTGTCTCTTTATTTGTCTCACTGAATAACTAAAAAAATATATATATTAGATTCTAATATATAAATAAGTAACAATCTTGACTATTTTATGCAAGAACCTGCTAGACCTATATTGAAATTCACACCAAATTATACCGCAATATATACCGTCTACCGTCTGTGTCCCAAATTATACCGCAATATGAAT